AACTTTAGGGGCGGCCGTGGATGTGTCTTCAGGATTTTTGAGGGCACTCGTGGAGAAAGAGACTTGTCCTTGACAGGAGACGTCTGAAGGCAGAGAACCGGGGCTAAAGCTGCCCTGTGCATCAGTGGGTCCTGCCGCACTTGGTCATCTGTCAGGGTGAGAATGTCATGGAAAATGTGAGCCTGGTGGACCCCAGGGATGCCAGGCCTGAGCCATCCAGGAAGGACCCTGACCAAGAGCACTTTGTGGCAGGGTGAGGCTGAAGGAGACCGTGCATGTATGGCTGGAATCTAGGGTAGTTGGTCACTGGGGCAAGAGCTGATGGTGGCTATTGGGCAAGAGCCAATGGTGGCCACTGGGGCAAGAGCCAATGGTGGCCATTGGGGCAAGAGCTGATGGTGGCCATCAGAGGGTAGCCAGAGAATTCGTCGTCCTCGGGAGGGGCTCCTGTGGTGCAGAGGGTCCCATAAGAGTCTCAGAGGCACCACCAACAGATCCCATGGAAGGCCAGTGTTGGAGGCCTGCTGTGAAGAGCGTCCTGACCACCAGCCACAACGGCACCAGATCGCGGGCCTCTTCCTTCAATTCCTCCCTCCTTCGCCCAATCCTTGACGCTCAGTGAGGAGAAGAGGAAAGAAAGGGGAAGGAGGAACAGAACAGCCCATGACTCCTGTCTTAGATTCTCCAGTGGCAGGTCCTGTGATACGGATCTTTATGAAAGTGATTTATGAGAAAGTGTTCCCAGGAAAACAGATAGGGGGATGGGGGTGCAGGAGGAGGAGGGGGAGGAAGTTATGCAAGGGTGTACCAGACACTGAGATTCTTTGGAAAGTGACTCGTTAGGAAGTGTGACTAGGTGATCTTGAGCACAGTCCCAACAACGGGTCCTGTCCCGGCACAGCTTTCCCCAGTCAGGAACAAGGGACCCGGAGCACTAATAGTCTTGCACCCAACGGCCATTGGTTTGGGTTCTGCCTGGGGTTGGCAAGAATGGGAATCCCAAGGTACATCCCGCCGTGGGTTCCGAAACTGTGTTCGGGCAGCTTGAGGGCAGGCTTCTGACCAAGAGACACAGGTGCCGGCCATGAAGAATGAGAGGGAAGGGATCCGGAAGGGATCCGAGCAAAGCCTCGGCAATGTCTGCTGGAGCCCCGCGCCTGCGGGTCCCGAGTCGGGCTGCGTGAGGCTTCGCTCTGGGCTGGGCTGGGCTTTCGTGGCCTGGAGTTAAGACTGGTCTTAGAGCTGAATGTAAAGGAAGGATAAATCCAGGAGAGTCTATCTGATAACAACGAAATGAGGTCTTGGTGTAGATGCCCTTTTACAGGTTGAGGAAATTCCTTTCTATCTCATTTGCTGCTAGTTTTTTTGTTTGTTTGTTAAAATTTTTTTTAATGCTTATTTATTTTTGAGAGAGAGAGAGAGAGAGAGAGAGAGACAGAACATGAGCAGGGGAAGGGGAGAGAGAGAGAGAGGGAGACACAGAATCCGAAACAGGCTCTAGGCTCTGAGCTGTCGGCACAGAGCCC